TGTGAGGGCACAGCCAATGTGGCTTCATATCCCTGTCACTCAGAAACAGTAGGAGAGGAAAGAAACTATCCCCCAAAGAGAAGACTTTCCAGTTGAAGGAGCCATGATAGCAATTTTCCTTAATTTCAATAATAGAAAAGGATAGATTTAATTGGGCCTGTAACCTGCCTTCTCAGCAAGATATCTGTAAGGGGAATGATTATGAGTAACTAATAAATTCCTACTTTACAGGACACTTGGCAATTGGAAATAGAAAATCATTATACTACCCTTAATGGAATTACTAGTTTAGGTAAGAATGACCACTTATGGCTGAAAAACTTTAAATGGATGTTTTAGAACATCTGAAAAGAATGAGCTGCAGGTCATTAGAAATATGGGAGAAGCTGGTTGATCCCAGGACTCTGGGAGGCTGAGGCACAAGGATCACAATTTTGAGCTCAGCCCTGGCAACTTCACAAGATCCTGAATGATAAATAAATAGGTACGGGAGGTGTAGCTCAATGTGAAGGCTCTAGGTTCAATATCCATCTATCAATCAATCGATCTCTTTACCTACCTAGAGAGAGAAATGAAAAGATCACAACTTTCAGTCAGCCGGGACAATTTACCAACTTGGTGAGATCCTGTCTCTTAATTTAAAAAGAGATGAGCAACTCAGTGAAAAGGCCCTAATGTTCAATCCCCAATCCCTTTTCTTCTACCAGAAAGTATATAGGCTAAAAGCAAGCATCTGTCCCCGAAGGCTAATGAACTTCAGCTAAATGTAGGTAAGGTAGAGTTTGGCTTGCAGCTAGCTTCCCCAACCAGATGGGCAGGGAGCAGCCAATCCTGTAGTTAATGTTACACCTACCCAAAAGAACAAAAAACCTTGTATAACCAAACTGGTTTAGGCCAGTTCGCAGTAGCAGCCTGGGGCAAAGACAGGAGGCCTACAATTTCCTGTCGGTGGCTCCTCTAGAGTCCTTTATAGTCTCTGCTTCTCAGTCCCTGGGGACACTCATCTACCAGGGCTGTCCTCAGTGTTGCTCACTGCTTGTGATGCGGTAGCCTAAATGTTTAGATTCTACTAGACCTTAAAACAGAAATGATAACTTTGAGGCTACCAAATGTCTTCTCAGAAATCTGATGCAATTTTAGTGTCCTTGGGTATTATGCCAACTTTGGCTTATTTTCTCATTCCTGTCTGTTCACTCTCCATACTAATTAACCTAAGAAAACAACTGAGAAGCTCAGGATAAAAATGTAAAAAGACAGCCGCTGCGCCAAACTTCAGGCTCAAAGTAGCAAAAGCACATTACCATTAGTGCAGGGGAAGAGGGCTATAAAAACTGAGATGTGTGACCCTGCAGTTGCTACTCTAGGAAATGAAAGGCCACTGATTGTCACTGTGGGCGTGGAAGGGAGCTTCTGGGTTGTGCAGGAAAGTCTTTGTAGTTGTCCCCTCTGCCCTGGGACTTATAATGAAGGTACTGCCACAGCATCCTAGACCAACTCCAGAGTTGTCAGCTGGAATCAACATCATGTTGGAAGTCACAACTCACTTATGAGTTAAATTTAAAGAGTTTAAAGAGTTAAACCCATAGTTAGGATAGATATACAGCTACTTTCGCTTAATTCAATGAGAAGAAAGATTTATACTAATAGTGTTTGGACAGGATATTCTGTCTGCATCTTGTACTATGGATAACCACTAAGAAGATAACAATGTACAATGTATTAATTATTGAAACTGTCCTATTAATGAGTTTTGAAACTGTTTCATTGATATTTGTTTCTCAATAAAATAAAAAAAAGAGTTAAATCCTTTGAATGTTACTTAAAATAGTTGGCCTCAATTTTTAGATTTTGGGAGTATTATGTAGTCATTCAAAATTTTGAATACGTAGGCACCTAGTCCTGCTAGTATTTTCCCTGACCAAGCAGTGAGGATGAAAGACAGTTTAGCAACTGGGCAGTCAGGGACTCATGCCTCTCTGGTGGGCAGACAATCTGAACGTCTGGCTTGTCCTGCTTTCACTCACTCAGGCACAGGTCTAATCAGTTAGAGATTTACCTCCCTTCTATGTTGAAAGTATATGCCAGGCTGACAACCGGATCTCAGTTTGTTCACTCTTCCCTAGTCCCCACAACAGGCCACCATCCCTGCATGTTGTCGAAGGAGCACAGCTCGCTGTCTATCTCCTTTGTGCTTACCGAGGTCAGTTAAGTCTCGGTTCTCCTTAACTGCTTTTCCACATGAATATACTATTAGGCTTTTACATCAAGACACTGGGTCACACACTGCCATCATGCAGTGAGTCACACTTCTTTAACACTGTGATTTTTTCTTGTGTGTAGCAGTGTCTACATCACTTGATGCGTTCAGTTTATGCTAGAAATTTTTACTGAGGTCATCACAGCTGGATCCAGCACTGAGGCTGGACCTGAGTTCTTGTCCTTGAGACTCACTGCCATGTGTATTGCTCTCTTAGGACAAACCAGATATTCACCAAGTGCTGAGACAATGTACTTACATGTCTCCAGAAGAAAAATCTCAAGGAAACTCCTAGGATAAAGGAAGAAATTTTAGGGGCTTCCCATTATCTTTGAGTTGCCCAAGAAGACTTCTGTCTCCAAGTCCAGTGGGGTTAAGTCTGTATGCCTTAGTTTTCTTTTGATAAAACTACCACTTACAACCTGAAGTCCACGGTGTCCTGAGTGTACTTTATGCTAACAGCTGATGGTGGATATGGTGAATTTAAAGCAACCAAGAAACTGAAGAAAAATCTTGTTCTGCAATATAGTTCTTTATGGCTGGTTTCAGTGTTGCAGGAAATTAAGAATCAGGTTCCAACAGGAAAATCCACACCCTGCCCTACTTCATTTATCTCATTCCCTTGCTCTGTGGCTTTAGTGCTTAGCTGTGTGGAGTGTGACAGCAGAGAGCTTCCTGTAGCCTTAGTGTTCCTGGCTCCCGCAGGGCACCTGGAGGCTGCCTTCTGCATTTGCAGATACAGAGTGCTGGGTCACAGGATACTTACACCTCAGTGCTGGGGGGAAGGGGTGATGGGCCTGCAACTCCGTGGACTGAACCACTGACTTAACTTTCATCATGGTCTCTCTTACTCTTGCTTCCTATAGCAACTACTCCTGGATCCCTGTAGCTCTCTGTGCTTCTAGCCAGGGTACCTTACGGCCATCCTATGGGCAGCTGGTCAAATCTTCCTGAGAGGTGTGGAAAATCTCCTTGCTCCTGACTCAGTACTCCAGATAGAAGAGAAAGATCCAAAACTATAAAACCTGGTGGTGGCCAACTCTGTAGACTAGGCTGGCCCAAAGAGGAGGCCAGGAGGATCATGGTTGTGATGTTCTGGATATGTGGTTTATATGATAAAGTAAAATAAATGGCTAAACTTAGTAACACAGTTCATGGGTCTAGTGCTGGTTCCTTTAATCAACTTCAACTTTAGGTGATTATGGAATAATGAGACCAAGAGAGGAAGGGATTGGCATAGTTCTATGTTGAATTTGTCCTGCTACAGCCCCATATTAAGTGGAAGGAAGGGAGGCAAGGTCACGTGAGGTCACCTGATTCTACCAAGCACCATGTTTTTCATAGCCTCTGTTCTATACTCCCTCAATAAGGACTGAGGGAGGCCTTAAAGAAAAGTTAGTGACCCTGGGGTACATATATTCTTTCCTTCTTTCTTTCTTCCTTCTTTCCTTCCTCTTTCTTTCTTTCATATATTCTTCCTTCCTTCTTTCCTCTTTCTTTTCTTTTCTTTTCTTTTCTTTCTCTTTCGAGACAGGGTCTCACTATGCAGCTCAGGCTGGCCTTATGCTCAATTTGTAGCCCAGACTGGTTTCAAACTCACAAAGATCCTCCTGCCTCTGCCTCCCAAGTCCTGGGATTATAGGCATGAGCCACCACACCTGTCAGGCACGTATATTCTGAACAGCTGGGGCTATGGTGTTTTCCTGAAAAAACTTGCCTTCTAGTTCTACATGAGTAGGCTTTTAAAATAACCAGGTTTTACATCAATCCAACCCTTGCTTACACATTTCCACCATGCAACCACTATTACTTTATAATTTTTTTATTTTTTTGGTGGAACCGGGGATTGATCTCAGGCCCCTGTACTTGCCAGGGAAGCACTTATTCTACTGAGCCATCTCCCTGGGCTCTGCTATTACTTAAATGTTGTTCTGTTTTTTACCTGTGTCTTTTCAGGTATACAGTTCTTAAGACGTTTCCTAATAAATATAGCAAGATAGTCATACTCATATAACAAATATTTAAATCATTTATTGCCATAGTTACAGCATCTCAATATACACACTGCATGAAAATACACAGATACTTCTGAAACAAGGAAATCAGATTTTTAGATGTGTGGTCAGCTAGTGGATATCATGTGGTCATTCAATAAAACAGCAAGGATTTTGAGTACTTAACTGTAACTAGTTACAAAATTTTGTTCTCTTTAGTTTTTCACTAATAATAGATAATATATTACTGGAGATAAAACCATCATCAGAAATTATTAAATTAGTTGCATATTTTGAGCTACTCTCTATGAAGAGAAATAAAATATTCAGTATTATAAGGCAGCAGAGAGTTCATTCAGGGACTCTCAGCTTTTTCTATAAAAGTGGTATGGGTAGTAAAAATAGCATTCTGCATTTTCTCCATAGCAAGACTATTTATGCTGATGGAATCTGTGAGTTGGTAGCAGTGGCTGGGGTGCTGTCCCTTACAGAGCTGGTTCTTCCCATTGCTAAGCAGATGCCTTCTTACTCATCCTGGAAATAATCACAAGGAAATCAAATGAGAAACAAATTTCACTGCTGGGCTCAGAGGCTCTACATGGATTTAAAGAACATCTTTAAATAACATTTAATCCACTTTGTATTTTATAAAAATAGTAATATCCTATTTTGTGTCAACTTTGATGTTTAATAAGTCAGGTTTCCCCAGCTAGGCATACTCATATATCAGTTCCCAACTGCCTAAGATCTTAATGTCATTGTCCCCAATTCCCCAAAACAAAAACAATTAAACTGGAATCTGCTTACTCATATTTGATCAGCCGACTTCCCTGAATGAGCTGGGCTACTTCATTTGTTGCATGACACGCAAACAGAAGCCAATTTCGAGGCTGTACCTTGTAGGCAAATCTCATGAATGTCAAAGAATAGCAACAGAGGGCTGTAAAAATATCAAAGCAAAGAACATCAGTAACTCAGGGCTGGTGATGTAGCTATGCGGTAGAGTATCTGCCTAGCATGCACAAGGTGCTGGGATATCCAGCAACACACACACACACACACACACACACACACCCACACACACACACCCCTTTGGGTTGAAAGGACCACAGAAATCTATGGTTCACTGTGTTAACCAAAAAGAACTCTTCTGCTAAACTCTTGGCAGATGGTCAAAGCTATG